TTTTACCGATTCAAGTTTAGAATTCAAGTTTTGCTACAGTAAAAAGCTCTCAAAGACAGGCACATCTAACTTTTTTGTTATAGTAAAAAGCTCTCACATAAAGTCACGTCTCAACTCGAATTAAAAACTAAAATCAACGAACTAAATAGGTCATTATTTACCCCAATCATGATGGTAAAATTTGCATCAATCCATTTGTATAATAAGTTTGCTTCTTTTTTAATTTTTGAAAATAAGATGGTACCTAGCTTTGAACTAGACATGAGCTACATTATTTTACACGTTATTATTCGTCCCATATGTTGCAAGACCTCTTTGTGTTTCGAAGTGATTGATAGCGTTATCATATTCAAATGTAGCAAGAACGATTATGATAATATATTTTTTTTAAACAACAATTAATGTGATAGTTTTTAATTCAACATCGATCAATAAAAATTTCTTATTGACTGTTTATGTGATACATTGACATTCGATGACAGTATTATGATAGTGATGTTTAGTACATCTATTTAAGTAATCTAATTGATTTTTTTATTTCATTTTATTGCAAGTTGTTGTCACAGTGTCCTCTCTATGACTAATATAAACGTTACATTTGGGTCTCAAAGAAACCTTTTGGTACTTAATCTAATTATTATTCTAGAATTCATATTTTCATTAGGATATTAAACTCATAATTAGCATGTTTATTATTTCACATTAGAGAATTGAACTATAATGTGAAAACTTTTTTTTTTTTTTTTTTCCTTCTTAGATGAAGCATGAATCACACCTTTTTCTGACCTCATTTTATTAATACTCCCTCTATTTTGTATATTTATCGTAGCTTAGAATTCCTAATTTATAACCAAATAGAAAAGAAAAAGAAAAAAAAAACAGCCCACAGGCTTGTTGCCGGAAAAGTTCGGCATTACCGTGTAGTTCGTATAATATCTGTCATACTAATTTGTCCATAGTCTTTAGCTAATTCCCTAATACAACAACAGTTTTCAATATATATATTTTTTAAAGTTTTTTTGGAAAGGAAATATTTAGCTAATTTCATAATCACAAAGTTTCTCGGTTTAATCACCAAACACATACAATTAAAATGTATTTGAATTCGAAAATCTAAGACCAATTCTAAGTAGCAAAGTTTTACAAACAATGCATCAATTAATTTGATAATTTTAGTGCCATTTGTTATATTAAAACCTGGAAATCACGCACTCTTGAGTAATGGTTAATTTGTGTATAGCTGAAAAAAAAAACATTCACATTATTCAGACAGCATAAATCCACATTATTAATTGGTAATATTTAGTGTTAAAATAATTAACTAAATGGTGGAAACGATAAAAAGAATTAAATATCGTTCCGTATGCATCTTTTATTGGAACTTAGGGCCCGTTTAGTTTGCTGATTCGAGTTTTTAATTTGAGTTGAGATGTGATTTTATGTGAAAGCTTTTTACTGTAGTAAAAAAGTTAAATGTGACTATTTTTTAGAGCATTTTACTGTAGCAAAACTAAAATTCTAAACTCAAATCGGTAAAATGAACATGGCCTTAGTTTTGTTTTGGGGAAACATTGAGTTTAAACTGAATAAAAAGAATTAAATATCGTTCCGTATGCATCTTCTATTGGAACTTAGTTTTGTTTTGGGGGAACATTGAGTTTAAACTGAACTTATGATCAATTTTAATTTTTTTTTTTTTAGGAAATCTTTATGGTAAGACGTATATTTTTACTCCACTAGTAAGAATTGTTATTTTTTAACTGTTATATTAATTTTTTAATAGTCATATTTATGCATGTATGCCTTGAAAATTTACAGTTCGGTACAGAATTGCTCATACTCAAATCAAATTATTAAAAAACTAACCTAACAACTAAAACACAATTCCTACAGTAAGAGCAAAATTGCATGTCATACATAAGTTTTGTCTCTTTTTTTAAAGCATGTAAATTTTGCGACATTGAAATATGTAGATTAATTCCTTAAAAAAATAGAAATAATGAAGCAAATAACATATTTTATAGTAAATAATTGACGTAAATAGCAGATTTTAAAACTATTTGAAATAAGGGAGAAAGAAGGAAATAGACCAAGACTTGAGATGAATTAAAATTAATAGGCTAATAGTTTACATAAGTTAATAAATAGGCCAAATTATTATTTTTGTCCATAACTTGTCTGGTTATGAACCATAACTTGACAAGTTATTGTCCATAATTCACAGTTTTTGTCCATAACTTGTATGACTATGAACCATAACTTGACAAGTTTGTTCATAACTTATCTGGTTATGAACTATAACTTGACAAATTATGACCTATTAATTTCTATAACTAAAAATTAGTCTATATAATTTCTTAAGCTTTTCATATTGGCCTATTTTCTACTATTTCCGTTGAAATAAATAACAGTTTACCGTGTAAATGTTCTTTTACCACTAGTAAAAAGATTTTTTTCATGTACATTTTCTTTTTATAATGAAAGATTTTTCCACATAAATAAAGATTTTTTACCGCATAAATTATTTTTTTAAGGATAAAATTATTTTGATATATTGTGTTATAGTAAAATATGCTCTTGGTACCTTATGTTTTTTTAATATTAAAGTGGTGCCTCAATATTTTTAAAAAAAATTTCTTGATAGCCTGAAATTAATTTTTAAGATATAAAATGACCTTAGTACCATTTTATTTAATTAATCAAAATCTAATAAATCTAAAAAAAATGAAATTTTTTGTTTAATTATTTTCTTTTAAATATTTTAATGTTTTAAAACATTTTCATATTTTTTTTAAGAAATACTGATCCTTATTTAATTAATAAAAATAATAATTTAGACATTACATGTCATAAAAATTAATTTTAAAGTATTAAGAATATATTTTTAAAAACGTTAAGATATTATTTTAATATAAAAATATAAAATATTAAGAGCGTGTTTTGTTAGAATACATAATATTAAAATGATTTTATCCCTTTTCTTTTAAGTTCAACCCACTTTTTATTTTGTACAAATAAATAAATCAAAACCTTAAGTTGAACCACTTGAACGCGACGCTTCAACCAAGCAAATTTAACAAGATTTGTCAAAAACTGGTTGGTTCAAACCACTTGAAGTAGGTTACTAAACGGACCTGATTTTACTAATCTATCCTTTCTATAAGAATGTAATTACCGGGACAGAATCTTGTCTCAGCCCTAAAATCGGGGACACGTGTAACAAGTAAACCGGTGATAAAGAGTCATGGAGTTGACTATTGACAATTAGTCTAGTGTTAGAACCCTAGCGCCTAGAGACTAGAGACAGCCTTGGGGACAGTTAGTTAACCCTGCTTGGTTTAAATCCCGAAGAGTTCGGGCCTCGCCTCGATAGAACAAAATCCACGAACCTTTAACCATGGTTAATGTAATCTGGTTAAGCATTTCCCTCTTTTTCAGTTTAAGCGGTCCACGAAACTCACCGATATCTCAACCATTTTTTGCCGATTCATACGCTAGAAAATCTCATCTTCTTGGGATTATCAGATTTTCAATTTTTTTTTTTTTTTGCTCGAAGATTTTCATTTATTTATACTTAATGGAAAACAGTTCATTAACTAATTCCATGCTTCTTTTATGCCGATCACAACTTCTCCACTTGCTTAGGCTGACGTGTGCGTTACACGGGATGATCAGGGGATGTTGGCTAGTGGCTTGTTTGATTGGCCTATTATTAGCGCTAGATTTTTTTTTTTTTGAAAATTAAATGAGATTTTTACCGTAGGTCTTCTAAAAAATGAGTTATCAATAATTTTTTATTTTTTATTATAAAATTTTAATAAAAATGATCTGTTTTACATATTCTAAAAACATACATTATTAGTAAGAAGTCATACCATAAAAGATTTAAATTTATAAAAATTGACTACTTTTTTTTTTAACATTCAAAAACTGAAATTGGATTTGATAGTACATTTCAAAAGTATATGTACCTTAATTTCTTCTTAACTTTTTTTAAAGATAGTTAACAAAAAATATATGATATAATAGTTTATAACTATGCCCTATAACTATGGATAATTTATTTTTTCCATACACTAAAAAACCTTCAAGACATCTAACAATGTGTAAAAATAATGAAACATGTATTCTAAAAAAAAAGTAATGGAACATGTAAAGTACAATTGATGGATGCCAATGACATTACTTAATGATTTAGCAAAAATGAAATTACTTAATGACTGAAAAATCCAACATGATTTCTATTAAAGAAAACGAAGAAAAAAGTTTGAAACATAATTTTTTATTTGGATAGTTTACGAAATTCAAATTCGTATTAACACATTTGTAAAGATTAACAACATATCATATATGAGTGTACTAATAAAAAAAATTAAAAACTAATATAATATTCTGGTATTACATGAACAGAGTGAAAAAACCGCGCCTGAAAGTGAGAGTAAAAGATAAGAGAAAACATGCGTGTGTGTTTGCACAAACAAAAATACAAATAAATAAAAAGAACAGAATAGTCCGTGTAAAAATAAATTAGCCTTAATTACTTTTCAATCGTTAAATATATATTAAAATTTATTTATTTAATAATTAAAAGTTTAAGACTATAAATATAACAGACTACTAAAGAAACTCTTTAACAAAAATACAACTAAAATTTGTTCAAACGATCCGAAACCACCGTCGACTAAAAACAAGCACGTAAATCTCTGCTGTAATCTTAATTATATATTTTACATATTATCTATGACAAATAAATAAATTATATATAAAAAAAGAAATAAAAATCTGTTTTAGTTTCTCACAGTGACAGTCCAAACAGTGAGGTCGGCAACGACGCCTCAATTCAACCATTTCTATATAAAAAATTTGCCGGTGCATGTTGTCTGTCTGTGTGTCGGACACTGTGCGGCTTGTTTTTGTATTTCTATATGCATATATATATATATATATCTATATATACACCAACAAACTCGTTTTCCTTTTTCAAGCGAAAAAAAGAAAAAACTCTTTTTCCTTTCTTTCACACTCAAACCCCCACTCTTCAGTCTTCACCACCAGTACCCTTTTTATTACCTTTTTCCTCTTACTTTCCCAGGAAAATTCTCCGGCCTCTCTTTTTTATCGTTTTCTTTTCCGCTAAAAATTCTTATTGTTGTGTTGCTCTTGTCTTGAATTGCTTTAGCGTTCGTCGCTCTGCTTTTCAACTTCCGGCGAAAGGTAATAAATTCCCGATTCCGTTTTCATTTTTCGATTTTCTCCCTCTAGGTTGTTTGGTTTCGGAGAAAAATTCTAATTCAGCTATTTTCGGTTTTGCTTTGATTTTTAACGGAGATTTGAATAATTTGTTTGTTGAAATTTTCTTGGGAACCAAACAGAGGATTTGTTGACTCTGTTTTGGTTTTTTTATTTAGAAGGAATTTGTTTCTGACATGAATTTTCCGTAACTGTTAAACAGCGTTGAAATTCTGTATTTGTCTACACACAAGCACGATGATCACAGTGATGGAATCTGGAACAGAACCGATGAAGAAGACGGGGGAGAAATGCTTGGATCCTCAGTTATGGCACGCCATTGCTGGTGGACTGGTCCAAATTCCTCCCATTAACTCTAAAGTCTTCTACTTCCCTCAGGGCCACGCTGAACATGCCAAAGGAGATGTAGATTTTGGGAATACTCGAATTCCTGCCTTTATTCTCTGCAAGGTATCCGCCATTAGGTACATGGCGGATACCGAAGACGAGGTCTTTGCGAAAATTAGGTTGGTACCTTTGAAGTCTGATGATCTTGATGTTGATGATGATGGGTATGTGTTGAACAATGGAACTGAGAATGCTGAGAAAATGACGTCTTTTACCAAGACCTTGACACAATCTGATTCCAACAATGGTGGAGGATTCTCGGTCCCCCGTTACTGCGCGGAGACCATCTTTCCGCCGTTGGATTACTCGGCTCCCATGCCGTTTCAGTTTATGAATCCCAAGGATGTTCACGGCAAAAGTTATACGTTTAGGCATATCTATAGAGGGACGCCGCGCCGTCACCTTTTGACGACGGGGTGGAGTGATTTCGTGAACCACAAGAAGCTTGTTGCTGGTGATTCGGTTGTGTTCGTGAGGTTGGAAAGTGGGGACATTTTTATTGGGATCAGGAGGGCTAAGAAATGTATTGGTGGTGCACATGAGTTCCCTGGCCGTTGGAACCAACAAAGAGGGAATTATGGTTCTTCTCAGTTTTGGGGAGTGATGGGAAGAATTAGTAACAAGGATTCGAGGGGAAAAGTGAGAGCTGAATCTGTTGTCGAAGCAGCAAATCTTGCAGCCAGTGGGCAGCCCTTTGAGGTTGAGTACTATCCGCGCGCGAGCACTCCCGAGTTTTGCGTTAGAGCCTCGGCTGTAAGGGCTGCAATGCAAATCCGGTGGTGCTCTGGAATGAGGTTAAAGATGCCTATTGAAACCGAGGACTCTTCTCGGATAAGCTGGTTCATGGGGACCATTTCTTCTGTAGATGTTGCTGATCCGGCCAATTGGCCTGATTCTCCATGGGGTCTTCTACAGGTTAGTCTTGTTTTCCTTTGTAGATTATTAATAAGTTAGCTTTTCTTCTTTCCTTTTTTTTTTTTTGATATTGAATTGTTGCATATGATTTGAAGTTTTCCTTCTTTGATGAATTGGTTTTAGATTTATGCTTATGCCTAATTATGACGATATGCTTCTGAAACTAACATGTACTAGTGAGATAAATCATTTATTTTTTATTTTTTGAATTAGATCATTAATGTTGATCATGCTGGCTCACTCACTTTTAGTAACAAAAATATAAACGATCCTCTTTCAGGTAGAATGGGATGAACCCGATTTACTCCAGAATGTGAAGCGTGTTAATCCGTGGCTGGGTGAACTCGTGACAAGTATGCCGCCCATCCCTGTCTCCCCCTTCTCACCTCCAAGAAAGAAGTTGCGGCTTCCGCAGAATCCAGACCTTTCCCTGCTTAGCCAACTTCCAATGCCATTACTTGCCAGCAACTTCCTAAACTCCAGCGTCCCCTTTCATTATATTCAAGACAACATTTCTGCAGGCATACAGGGAGCCAGGCATTCTCGATTGGGACCGTATCCAGCGGATCTCCACCTAAATGAACTGCAGTCTTCTCTGTTTCCGATGGGTTTTCAGCAACATTATCCCATTAGCCCTCCCACAAATCCTGGTGGCAACTTGAATTACACCGAAAACAATGAGAACTTCTCTCACTGGCTGAAAATGGAACACCGGGTTCAGAACTTGAAGGCAAAGGACGAAACTAAGCCGCCTCAGTTGATATTGTTTGGACAAGTAATACTGACTGAAGAGCAACTCTCTAAGAGCTCTGTCGAAAACTGTACATCGAATGGGAATTTAGAGAAAACAGCAAATCCTTCCGATGGTTCCGGTTCCACAGTGCTTCAAAATGGTTCAAGAGAAAATTCTACTGATGGAGTGTACAAAGATCACCAAAGTGATCTAGGTTTGGAGATTGGTCCTTGCAAGGTGTTCCTCAAATCGGCTGATGTTGGCAGAACACTTGATCTTTCTAACCCTTCAGGTAGTTTATATGCGATCTTTCTTTTCTTCTTAGAATTAGCATTTTTGAGTGGTAACTGGTAACGTTAGCAGTCGTATAATTTCTTTTATGTTGTTTACTTTGGCAGTGAGTTTTTGAAGACAGCAAAAAATCTAACCAATTCGTACAGAACCAGACGGCGAGCCGAGAACGTAAGAAGATAGCTAGAGATTGGAGGATGAGAAAACTGTCCTTAAGTTGTACTGATTGTTCAATATTTGCTTTGTTGTTTTCTTCTTTTCTCCGGTAATTTTTGGGAGAATCCTGACTAGCTTTATTTTGCATAGTTGTTGAATTTACATTTTTTTTTCCTGATGAAACATGTTCTATTTCTATGTACTTTGTGATAGCCAGATTCCTATCTGTAAATAATTTGGTCCTTTCTTTTCCTTGTTACTGAAAAGCCGTTGCCCTTTTGTGTTGTAACAATAGCTCCGTTTGTTGCTTGTGAGTACTTGCAAGTCACAACATAGGGAGACCCGCACCAAACTCTTGAATGTCCAGCGAAAATGGCATTCACCATTTTTTTTTCCTCTAATAATTTACTTTAGGGAAATTTAGACCGTCTCCTATAAAATATTCAAAGGCAAGAAAAAGAAAATAAAGAGACAAGTATCAACTTTTGGCCACTGCTCGATAATTGGCATGTTATGAACTTGCTTAAGGAATCTACAACTTCCATGTTTCTTTTTAGTTATTATTATTATTATTCTTGTTGTTATTACTATTATTATTAGCACTCAAAACGATATTTTATTGAGTGTTAGTTTTGAGTAGTTTCTTTTGTGCATTGTGACAGTTTCTAAAAGTCGTTATTATAAGGGAAAAAAAGAGAAAAACTACCCCTTACACCAAAACTCTAACCTGTTAACTATTTCATGTTTTTAGTCAAAATAGTGTTTTTTTTTTTTTTAAAACTTTTTTCCACTCCAACCATTAGCTAAATGGTTAGCTATTTTAGAGAATGGTTTCCACACTAGCTAAATATAGTTAGCATATAGTTGCTAGTTATTTTATTTTTTATATTATTTTATTCTTTCAATTGTAATAAATGTAAAAGCTCTTTTTTAAATTTAATAAAATTATTTATAGTTTAAATTCAATAAATATTAAAAGTCATCTATATTCAGTTAAAATAAGGAGTATGGTTGGAGATTCACCAAAAAATTGTTAGCTAAAATAGTCTTCTAACCATTTTAGCGAGATTCTATTTTAGCTAGATTTTAACTAAAATTTAGAAAGGTCCTTGAAGATGGTCTAAAAAGTTGTTAGCTAAAATAATTTTTTAGCTATTTTAGCTTGAATTTCTCTTAATTAATATCAGTTTAGTTAAATAATTATATTAATCAAAATAGTATTAATAAAGAGTAACAGTGAAAATCAAAACTTGTGAAGGTAAGTTAAGTAATTCTCCTTTTTTTTTTTTTTTTTTTAATATCAACGGTCATTTTAGTATAAAGAATCAAAACTAATGCAATCCATTAAACTTTTCTTTTTTTTTTTTTAAGTTTTATAGAACAAATTAACTTTCATTTTCGTATTTCCACTCTATTTTCTTGTTTCACTCAAACCCTTCATGTTGTTGTAAAATCAACCGTCTTTTTTTTTTTTTTTTTTTTTTTTTTTTTTTTCTCTCTGTGAGCAAATGGAATCAACGACCTTGTTGTAAACTTTCATACGGTTGGACTGATTTCTATACATAAAGTATTACAGTTCTCTTGGGATGAACATTATCAGACTTCTCAAGTCAAAAAACGCTTCAAGAGTCGCCCAAAGTTGATAGTTACGGTGTATATACTTCTTAAAAAATTATTGGATGTTTCTATCAGTGTACTAAGACCCTGTTCAAACAATTCCTACGTTTTACTTGAATTTTGTCTTACCATTAAATCAACAAAACAATTTGTACGTTTCTCTTTTTAGGCTCTAGGAATAGAACCCATTTTGTCCGGATCCATAATAAACATTTTGGTTGCTCTAGAATCTCATCTGGCTATTTAATGAATATATACAAACGTTTTTTAGACAATGTTTTCTTTTCTTTTCTTTTATTTTAGAAGTTTCTGGTTCCATAGTTCCAATAATTCTTTGATGACCCAATATAGTGCCGGAAATAATGGGAACTTGTATGGTCCTATATCAATAAGTGATCCATCGAAAATCTGAATACTACTATTACCAAGTTACTAAACCCATGGCCATGGTTAAGAAGTCTGATTAAAAAAAAAAAAGTCAATTGAAACTTGAGCTGTGAAATTGTTTGTTTTGTTATGAATAGTAGTTGTCCACTTCAGTCAAAATTACTGTTTATGTTAGAATCTTATTGTGTAAATAGTAATCGTAAATAGTGCTGAAAATTTTCTTATAAATAGAGTTATAAGACTCTTCATTTTATATACCTTCACAAGATTAATGAAACTCTCTCTAGTTTCTCTTTCTAAAATTTTTCTTCTTATTTTTGCATTAGTTTCTATAACACGTTATCAGCACGAACGTTCTATTGCGATTGCGATTGTCTACATTCATTAATTCAAAGAAAGTTGGCTCTGATCCAATTACAAGCATCTACCTTAAAGTCAAAAGAAAGTAGGTCTTAGCCCTAGTCCTACTACAAGTTTATACCATTATTAATTCAAGTGAAAGATATGTAAATATACTATATTATTTTATATTCATACAAAGGAGGGTTATGCCATCAACGTATTATAATTTTTATAATTTTATCGTTATACACCATTAAAAGGTTTACTGAATAGTTTGACGTATTTGTATTCTCATAAATGGACGGCTATGCCGCCTGCAGGTAATAATTTTTCATTGAACTTTCTGCATGCATGTTACTATTCTCATATGTTTATTTTTCTACAACATTTGAGATATACAATTATAATTTTTCTTTCACTTCTAACGGTAATACAACGGGTTTTTACACCACTATTAACGGCTATAAACGACTTATTTTTACTCTATAAAATGTGGTTTTTCTTAACCCATACAATTCATTTCTCATATTCTCTTCCCCCTTCTTAGTATTTTCATCTTTCAGTTCTCATCTTCTCTTAACTATTCTTAATATAATCTTCACGATATGACGAATATGATGATGATGTTTGTTATTTTAGTAGTCATTTTCTGTATTTTTGCTCTTTTTATTGGAGATAATTCTCCACACGATTTTCAGTTTTTCCTTGCAATACTCATACTTTGAAATGAAAGACCTTGGAAAAATGAAATATTGTCTTGGTTTACAGATTGAGCACCTTCAAAGTGAATATTTGTGAATTAATCAAACTATACTCAAAAGGTCTTAAAACGCTTTAATATGGATAAAGTAAACCCTTTTAAGTACTCCAATGATTGTTAGATCACTTAATGTTGAAAAGGATCCAATTCGCCCTTGCGAAGGTAATGAAGAAATCCTCGGTCCTGAAGTATCATATTTAAGTGTAATAGGAGCTCTTATGCATCTTGCTAATTGTACTGGACCAGATGTAGCTTTCGCTACTAATCTATTAGCAAGATTTAGCTCACCTCCTACACGAAAATATTAGAACAGAATTAAGCATATATTTCGTTATCTTCAAGAAATATTTGATTTGGGATTATTTTATCCTAAAAGATCAAAACAAGGGATGATTGGTTTTGCAGATGCATGATATTTGTCAGATCCACATAAAGCTAACACATGTTCACATGTGGTGGTACTGTTGTTTCATGGCGTTCACAAAAGCTAACACTTGTTGCCACTTCCTCAAATCATGTCGAAGTTATTGCACTCCATGAAGCAAGTCGAGAATGTGTATGGCTAAGGTCTATGACTCAACATATCTAAGAAACTTGCGGGCTATCTATCAATAAAGATCCAACAGTATTATTTGAAGACAATGCAACATGTGCCACTCAAATAAAGAAAGGTTACGTCAAAAGCAACATAACAAAACATGTACCACAGAAGTTTTTCTCATACTCCCAAGAGCTTGAAAAGAATAAAGATATTGATATTCAATACGTTCAATCGAGTGACAATGCAGCATATCTTTTCATAAAGGCACTTATATCAGGATGCGTCATTTGTGAGATTTATGAGGAAGACCTATACATGTCAACTTGAGGGGTAGTTTACGTGGTTGTATTCTTTTTCCTTATTATGGTTTTATCCTACTGGGTTTTCCTGATAAGATTTTTAACGAGGCAGCATAAACACGTATAAATAAATGATGTACTCTTTTTTCCTTTGCTATGGTTTTTATCCCACTGAGTTTTTCCTAGTAAGTTTTTTAATGAGACATCATGAATGGTGGACATCTAAGAGAAAGTATTATGAATAGTAACTGTCCACCTCAATCAAAGTTGCTATGCAAGTCAGTCAAAATTATTGTTCATGTCAGAATCTTACTGTGCAAATAGTAACCGTAAATAGTAAGTACTTTGTAAATAATAACCCTGAATAATGCCAAAATTTTTCCTATAAATAAAATTTTAAAGCTCTTCATTTTATATACTTTCACAAGATTAATAAAACTCTCTAAAATTTTTCTTCTTAATTTTGTATTTTCTTAGTTTTCATAACTTTTTTTTAATGTCTTTCAAATGAGTGTAGCAGACAAAGATTTGTGAGCCAAGGGACGGTGATTATGCTAATCTTATGCTAGTTTGAAAAGCTTACTATTATAATATTATTATAATAAGAAATAAAAAGGGAGCTGATTCTTGACATTCACGAAATCTCACGAGTTGAACCAATAGACAACCATATTAATAGGACAGCAAAGATACAGACATAACACATTCTTTGTGCGCAGAATTGGGATCTCCTCATTGACCCAATATTGTTTTTTTTTTTGTTTTTTTTATTTTTTCAGAGGTTGTCTTTGCACGAAACAAAAAATAAATAAAAACTTGTCAAAAAAGTAAAAAAATCAAAAAATGTCACACAAAGAAAAGTAATAGGGATGTCAAAGTTTTGCACTAAATGTAAGTACATGGTTGAGCCAGAATTAGAACTATTTTTATTAATTTAGGACATAATTAAATATTTTAATTGTTGAGTAGACGTATAATTAATTAGAACTTTTCTCATCGAGTGGGAATATAAATGAAATTTTAAAAAACTTTTTGTAAAATTATTCTTCTTCAACTAATACATGCGAGTAAAATCCCACTTTCAAGTAAAAGAAAAAAAAAAAGTAAAATCCCACTTAAGAAAATGTGATTCTTATGTCAAAAAATATGCTATTTATTAGTACTCATCACATTAGTTGATCCTCAATAGATATTATTGAGATTTAACAAGAAATAACATTTGGTTAGCAAAGAAAACCAGGCGTTGAAATTCATGAGAACCATATTGGATTTCAAAGCTGTTGTGCTGCTCAACATGATAATTTCA